ATACAAATTCTCCTAAATCACTCGTACGCACAACTTAAGAACAAATCTGTGTGTACGAACGGTTCTTACATGAGGCCCAATGACTTGGATGAAAAAAACAAAACTAGTTTATTAAATAGCAAAAGAAAAAAGCTGGCATGGCAGCAAAAGACAAAAATAGAATGAGAACAAGGCTTAGTACATAGACAGAGCAATGATCCAACGGGGCAATGAAGACATGACACTGGGGATGATTGGGAGTGGAAGCACCTGGGTGATTAWGGACAGGTGAGAGTGGCAAGCTAGAAAAACTCTTAAGAAGCTACTGAGGATAACGACGCATGAAATGGAGAAAACGGGAAATGAGAAAATAAGACACAAGATGAACAATGAAACAGAAGAATTCTAACAAAATGAACCATAAAAAAACAAGAATCATGACAGTTTAAGTTTAAAATTAAATGTTGCGTAAAGTAGCTTTTGGTCAATTTCATTTCATGAAAGTAAAAAGTTGGAGAGCCCTATTTTAAAGGAACAATAAAACACTTTACTGTGTCCTATTTGGCAACCCTGCCGGGTACATTACTGCAGTGGTTCCATGTAAACGGGTAATTTTTTTTGTGTGTATTCACTCCAGTCTCCTTGGGCTGCCACCTTATCGTGGTGGAGGAGTTTGAGTGTCCCAATGATCCTAGGAGCTATGCTGTGTGGGGCTTTATGCCCCTGGTAGGGTCACCCAAGGCAGACAGGTCCTAGGTGAGGAACCAGACAAAGCGCAGCCCGAAAACCCCTTATGATGATTAAGAAATTTGGATCTGGCGTTCCCTCGCTCGGACGCGGGTCACCAGGGCCCCCCTCTGGAGCCAGGCCTGGAGGTGGGGCACGATGGCGAGCGCCTGGTGGCCGGGTCACCCACGGAGCCCGGCTGGGCTCAGCCCGAAGAGGAGACATGGGTCCCCCTTCCAACGGACTCACCACCTGTAGGAGGGGCCAAAGGGGTCAGGTGCAATGTGTAATGGGTGGCGGCAGAAGGAGGGGACCCTGGCGGTCTGATCCTCGGCTACAGAAGCTGGCTCTTGGGACGTGGAACGTCACCTCTCTGGTGGGGAAGGARYYRGAGCTAGTGTGCGAGGCTGAGAGGTTTCGGCTAGAAATAGTCGGCCTCACCTCGACGCATGGCTCTGGTTCTGGAACCAGTCTCCTTGAGAGGGGCTGGACRTACTTCCACTCTGGAGTTGCCTGCGGTGAGAGGTGCCGGGCAGGAGTGGGCATACTTGTTGGCCCCCATCTTGGCGCCTGTACGTTGGRGTTTACCCCGGTGAACGARAGGGTGGCCTCCCTCCGCCTAAGGGTGGGGGTACGGCTTCTGACTGTTGTCTGTGCTTACGGGCCGAACAACAGTTCAGATTACCCACACTTCTTGGAGTCCTTAGAGGGGGTACTGGAAGGTGCCCCTCCTGGGGACTCCCTTGTTCTGCTGGGGGATTTCAACGCTCACGTGGGCAATGACAGTGAGACCTGGAGGGGCGTGGTTGGGAGGAACGCCCCCCACCCCTGATCTGAACTCGAGTGGTATTCTGTTGTTTGACTTCTGTGCTCGTCACGGATTGTTCATCACAAACACCATGTTCAGGCATAAGGG